TTCTCACTGACCCCTTTCCACAGGCCACAATAAGGGACCAGATTAATGCCTTGCTATCTGTGCACCCTAGAAGTCTGTGACTAACACAGTAAGAACTAGCACTACTATTCCTAGGACTGTTCCTAAAGCCACAGTTTATTGAGTATCTACTATACCCAGCTTACAACAGAGCTTCTCGCACTGCAAAAAGCATGCAAATCCCTGGTGCCTGGTTAGCCGCACAAGCTGTGGTTGGGGACTGTGGGTTCTGACAGCTCCCAGAGGAGGCAGGTGCGCTTGGTCCAGTGATGGGGCTTCACATATTTGCACACCTGTATTTGTCATCGGTCTACAAGCATATTATGTGGAATGACGACCTCCTATGCAGGGGTCGATGTCACAGTGGAATGGCTGCCCACCTGCAAAGCACTGGGCTTTAGGTTACACATCACATTTCCCTGTGCACACTTCACTTTCCAGGTGATACATAATTCACATTTTCCTCTGCTATTGCCCATTCACCTTTCCACACTGCAAGATGGCTGTCTCACACCCTCTTCCCCCTGCTCTCACATTTCACCCCCTCTTTCTCCCTGTCACTTAAGGGCCCTGTGAAGCAGTCAGGGTTCTCCAGAGAAACAGAACAAACAGCATGTGGAGTCGGGGGAGGGAAGGGGGTGGGGGTTAGAGATCAAAACAGAGAGATGAGAGAGAGAGAGTTTTCTTTTAAGGAGCTGATTGGCTTGCAAGTCCAAAAGCTGCAGGGCAGGCTGCAGATCCAGAAAGAGCCGAGGCTGTAGCAAGTCAGAAGGCACGCCGCAGGGGGAATTCCTTCCTCGGGAGACTGCAGTCTTTGCTCTTAGTCTTTGCTCTTACCGCCTTTGACAGATCGGACGAAGCCCGCCCACGCTATTGAGGGTAACCCGCTGCATTCCAAGTCTACAGATTTAATATTAATCACATCTAAAAAACAGCCTCACAGAAACAGCCAGACTGGTGTTTGAACAAAAACTGAGTACCACAGCTAGCCAAGTTGGCTCATAAAATAAAACGTCACACTCGCTCCTTATTTTACTGGAGTGTTGGCAAAGTTGGAAGAAGCCTGCCCCAGGCTCTCCCTGCCCAGCTCCTGTGGACCTGCCCCGGGTCCAGACGCAGCCTTCCCTGCCTTCTGGCTCCCCACGGGCCCTGGGCGCCAGCCCTCCCTCCTCCAGGCGATGCACTGCAATTTCTCCCATCTTTAAGATGAGACCATTTTTCTCCACGGGGCTGTGTCCACTCTGTCACCTCCCTTCTCCTCCAGAAAGTACTCTAGCCCAGGAACTCCACTGTCTGCTCTGCTCAGGGGCCTCTCTACCAGATTCAATGGGCAGTGTCCTTTGCTCATAGATTCGATCTTGGGGCTGGATTTATCCCCCGACCTCTTTCTCTCCTTGAAACACAGGTGCTCACTTGGATTCCAGGGCTCCAAACCTGCAATTTTCCTTCTCTCTCAAGGCGGTAGCAGCTCTCCCTACCCCCTTCTCTTGCCCTCGTCCTCCCCCTCACTTTCCTCCTCCTACTTCCCCTTCTCTCCCTTCTCCTCCACTAACCCCTTGGGCTCCCAGGGTCCGGGGCTGGCATTTCACAGGGTCTGCCCTCCCTGGGGCTGCTTCTCAAAACACACTCAACCCTCTTGTCCCAACTCCTGCTACACACTGTGACTCCAGATTTCCACCTCCAGCCACAGCTTTCTGTCCCAGAGGGTCATCCCCACTTGTCTCCCGGGCATCTGAAAACCAGCAAGTCCCAAATCCACCAACTCAACCCCAAACCCAGCCCCTTCCTGGAAACCTGCTTCCTTGCATCTGCCATCTCTAGAGGGCCCGTTCAGTCACCCAGTTTCAGCCCCAGTCACAGCCGTTCCTCACTCCTCTAACACGGGCAGCATGCCTTCAACACAGAGCCTGGACTGGGCTACTGCTCACCAGCTGTGCCCCCACCAGCCAACTCCAGGAACCGAGCATCTCCTGCCTGGATCTCTACAGCGATTCCTAACAGGGACTCTGCTTCATCTGTTCTGCACAGTGATCTTGCTAAAATCAAGATTCCGATAGGCCACACTCCTACTTGAAACCCTCTAATGACTATAAAATCCGGTGACCTGGTTCCAGCCTCACCATTCTCACTGTTCCTCTGCCCAGCTGAGCAAGCACACGCTGTTTCCTTTGCTGGAATACTCTTCCCACACTCCTCTGCTCAGGGGCCCCCCCACCTGCTCTCCACTCAAATGTCACCTCCTGACAGAGGCCCTACCTGAACATCCCCAGCACACGCTTCCCCACCATGTTCTATTTCTTTCATGACACCTATCACCAATGGCGTTATATTGCAGAATCGCTGATTTATTATTTGATTCCCCTCCCAGCTCCTTGGATCATTCTTCTATGGTCTCCCCATGGATGGAATCATTGGCACATAGCAAACATTTCATAAAAACAGATATGATTGGCAATATCATATTCATACAAACCGAATACATGCACACACTGGGCATGACGATGGCGCGGTCCTTGAGCACGATTTACGTGCAGGGTCCTCTTCCCGATGCTTCACCCGTGGCATCTGATACAACCCCACCTCGTCCACTGCGTCCAGAGGCAAACACCTTCCCCACGGGCTCCTGTGCCCCCACCCAGCTCTACACCATCCCTCTCCTCTCATTCACCCGCCACCTTGCTTTGCACCACTCCCCCTTAGGGCCTTTGCTGTCAAGGTGGTCTCCATGTGGGAAAAAGGGACTCTGATCAACTCCTTCATCTCAAATACCACCTTCACAGTAAGGCCTGCCTGCCTGCCCTCCTCTTTAATACCATGACTGTTACCAGCCCCTCCCCAGCACTCCTGACTTCCTGATGCCTCTCCCTTTCCTTTTCTCTCCACTTTCCTTTTTTTCTGTAGCACAGATCAAAGAGAACAGGTCATGTTACTGATTTTGCTTCCTCCAATAGCCAGTTGTGTTCACAGATTACCTGAGCACCTGGAAGGCTGCCTGGCACTCATAAATGCACAGGAGGTACTCGGTATAGGTTTGCTGAATGACAGAAGCTTCAATCCCACACAACCATCAAATGAGGTACACAGCATCATCCCTGTTTTCTGGATGAGGAAACCGAGGCACAGAAAGGTTATGTAGGCCTGAGGTCACCTGGCTAGGAATTGATGGGGCAGGATTTAACCCAGGTGCCTGACTCCAGAACTTTGACTCTTAAGCCCCGTTTTGAGCTAAATGCAGAAGCAGCATAAACAGCCCACTTTGTGCCTCAAAAGGTGAACAGTGAGAGGCACAACTGGGCAGGGACGTGTCAGGTCAGGGGAAGAAACTGAATTGGGTAGTGGGGATTAACTGGATACTGTCTGCCAGCAATTTCTGCCTCCTGCATTTTACCTGCTTTAGGGTTGCAAGGGGCAGAGCTATGAACACAGATGCCCACTCAACAGCCAGTTCCTGGGCCAGTCACAGGGTTGGGAGCTGTGGCACCAGGGCTCTGGAACCCCACAGACTAGGATGTTTGCCAAAGCACCTAAGCCCTACCAGCCTTCCCACTTCCTCTCCTCCATGTCACAGTTACTGGCTGGTGTTCCTGAGAGCAGGCTGTACATGAGTCCTGTAAATGTCAGTCAAGTCAAAGGGGGTGGCTCCTCCTTGTATCTGTAGGCTCCAGCTAAAATCTGTGTGGCCCTGCCGGGCATCTGGCTGTCATCTGGGAAACAATCACTGTTCACAAACAAGGGCTTCACTCCTTCGCTTGGTCCATCTCCTGCTAAAGTCAGAATGTGAACATTGACAAACAGCGGCTCCCAGTAACTCTGCTACTCAGAAGTGATTATTCCAGCAGTTCAGAGGAGGAAGTGGTGGTGCCCAGGGCCACGGGATTAGAAGAGTAACAGAGCTAAAGGATCCTGTGCCTCAGTCCAACCACCTTGTCCCCACTTACTCAGCCGGGCCACTTTCTCTGGGGAAACCGATTTCCTTCTGCTTGCCCTTGAAAGGGGATCCTAAGGAAATCGGAGCAACGGGCAGTAGCTACCCTCTGGAAGATGGAGAACCTTCTCCCCTTCTGCGTGGGAGAATCCAATTTCGGTGCAGAGCAGATGGAGAAGGGGCCATGGGAATCAGGCCTGCCCAGGGACCGGGTTCACACTTTCTCTCAAGCTCTGGAGCCTGAAAAATGACCACTTCCCGGGGACGACCCATGTCAGAATTTGGGCTATATTCAGCACAGTGTAGCAGCCAGCAGCCCTGTCTCAGGGTGGGGTCCGGAGGCCCTCATTCCTGCTTGCCCCTCACTGCCACATGACCTTGGGTCAGAGTCCCTCATCCTCTCCCTCCGCCACTGCGCACAGCGGTAACCGTGTTCACTTCTGCGAGCCCCGTGACCCCCACTCAGGGCCAGGACTCACGGCAGACCCCCTGCGCATCCCTCAGGGTCGTCCCGAGGCTCGGAGTGGCCTCCGGCTGCGCGGCCTTTCCTAAGGCGGGGACTCCGCACGTGGGCGCCAGGCCCGGAAGGCGCGGGTGCGAGCGCTACCTTTGGCGTCCCGCAGCGACGGGAGGGGCTGGGCGGCCCGGAATTCGGCTGGCGGGGGCTCGCAGGGGGCGTCTGAAATGAGGCGGCCGACGGCGCGCGGGGCCTCCTCCCTCCGCTCCATCCCGCACCCCCAATTCCAGCTTCCATCCCAGCCGCGCCTCCCGGTCGGCCGTTCCGGGCGTCCACCGGCCCGCGTGTCCTGGGGGCGCCGGAGAAGGAGAACAGCGGAGAAAAGAGCCCCGGGCTGACTTTCCGGACCGGCGGGCCCGCGGGGAGGACCGGGCGCGGCGACGTGGCTGACCCACAAAGCCCCCGGCCCGGCGGCCAGGCCCAGGCGCGCGCGGAGCTGGGCGGGCCGGGGGTGTCGGATGTCACCCCCAGCGCACACCTCGGCCGGGGGGCGGGGGAGCGAACCACTGAGATGCGGAGACCTCCCCGGTCCTAGAGCGGAGCAGGAAGTGTCCCAGGGGAGGGAGCCGGAGGGCTCCGGCCTTTCCTTTCCTCGGCGTCCGGCGGGCTCCGGCAGTGGCCAGGCCTGCGCCGCCCGCCAACAGGGACGAGTCGCGGCGGTGAGTGCACCCCGGCTCCCGCGGCCGGCCCCGCCCCGCCCTCCTCGGCCCGCGCCCGGCCTCCGCGGCGCCGCCTCCCGGCCCAGAGCCCAGCGCTCAGGAAGGTGCGGGCGGGGGAGAAAGCAACACCATTGTTTTTCAGGCGCCTCCATTTGCCCCCGAGCCGAGCCGTGGCGTTCCGGATGATCGGGAGACGCGGTCTGGACGGGCCGGGAAAGGAGCCGGGCGCCTGCGGAGACGCCGCCTCAGCGAGTACGCCCGGCCGGGCGGGCCGGGAGGATGAGGACGGCTGCCCTGGACTTCCGCCGCCACAGGAGGGCTTTCGGCCGGACGCCGGGAGGGAGCTCCGGGCTGTGAGGTGAGGAGCCCCGGAGCCGGCGAGACGGGAGACGCGCGTGTGAGGGAGACCGAGGGCGCGGAGGGCGCGCTCCCCCTTCCCTGGCCCGCAGCGACCTTCTCCTTCCCCTTCTGCCGATCCGGCTCGGTCCCTCCTCCGCGAACGGCTGGGAGCTCGCTCCGCCCCTGCGGGGCCCTCCTCCGCCTCACTCACGTTAGTTCATTCATCAGGCGTCTCCTCCGAGCCTCCGACGCGCCAGGTGCCGCCGTGACAAAGACGGACGCGGCCGTCTGGTTGGAGACGATCCGAGTGGCAGCCCGGGTGGGCGCCGGTGCTCCGGGGGGGCGGACCTGAGTAGTCCTGGGCGCTGCAGGTGTGTGATGGGCGCCGCAGGGGGCCGCCGAGCAGGGCGGGCGGGGCCCACCCCGGGCTCCAGATGCCGGAGCCGCCCTGGAAGGGAATCCGGTGGTGGGGAGCCCTGTAATGCGTCCAGCCCGACGCCTCCACGGCCCCCATATGCGTTTCTGTATGTGTTGTTACTTTGGAAAGCAAGGAGATTCAGAGCAGTGGGTGTTTCTGGAACCACTGAGTTGTTTCGTAGCTTTTCTGGCATCACTTGTCTTCCTGTGAAATGGGAGTGAGGCCCGAGTCCCCCTTGTGAGCTGTTGGAGGTTAAGGCGCGGCCACGCTGGACAACCTCCTGCAGATGGAGGAGTGGCAGGCACTGCCGGTCCTAAGGATCACAGAGGCCTGATGGCAGAGAAGGGCACCGTGAGTGTCCCCATGTGCCCTTTCACGGGTCAGTGTTCTAGGGTGGGAGTCATGAACACCAGCCAGGTATACTGGTTGCTGGTCTCTTTTGCCACCCTGTATGTGTCGGCTAGTTGTCTGCACACCAGCGGGGAGGTGGAGGGACCCCTGAGGCCCACCTTGAGGGTGTGGCAGCTGCAGTGTCCAGGGGTTCTTTGAGGGCTGAGCTGTGCCGTGACGGACCCACTCTCCTGTCCTGGCCGAGGAACGGCTTTCGCGGGTGTGCCAGTTGCCTTGAATGTGGTTTGAAGAGGTCAAGGATAGACAAGAGGGTGGAGGCGAGGTTGAACGTCAGGCAAGTGTTGGCAGAAGGTTCATAGGAAACCACTGATATTTCTAAATGCAGTGTTATTTGTCCCTCGTGGACTGCATGTGGCTGTCTCATGTGATGTTCCCTGTGTCTGGGTATTTTCCCTGCCTCCCGTTGCAGACTCTGTTGGGCAAAGCTGATTCTGGCTGGGTTGTCCATCCAGCACTGAGCACCATCAGCCCTCTGCCACCAGCAGGATGGATTTTCCATTCCTGGATGTGCTGGAAGGCTCATCCGATGCATGTCTGTCTTTGTCTTTCCAGCTCTATTTGTAAAGGTCTTGAGAACAAGAACAGTGACTTCGGCTGCGGAGCTTCAATATAGTGGCCTGCTTGGCCTGCCCATCTCGGGTCTCTCCCGGAGGACCCGGCCACTTAAGGTACCAGAGAGTCTTGATTACATCTGCATGTGGCGCTGTTGGTTTCCTGGGATGCTCAAAACACCAGTGTCACGTTGAAATGCCACCACTTTCTCCCAGATTTCCTGCCTTGTTCATCCAGTCACCCGCTTACGGGAATCCACACGTAATGGTACTGATGGGGGGAGGGTATCTTTCTGTCTGTTTCATTCTGTGTGTAAAGACCAGCCACACCGACACTCCCTACCTTTCCCAGGGCTTCTCCAAAGGGCTGGTCTCTGAGGGCATTGACAGTTTCCTTGTCACTGTCCCCCAGAAATGACCACAGGAGACCAGAACACTGAAGCCAGTGATTTCTGTTTGGAAATAGGGTCGTCTTCTGCTGCTGACCCCCATCAAATCCCATCATGCCCACAGCCCTGTGCCCCCGAGTCTTGGCTCCGAAGGAAAGTGAGGAGCCCAGGAAAATGAGGAGCCCACCTGGAGAGAACCCTAGCCCCCAAGGGGAGCTTCCCAGTCCCGAGTCCTCTCGGCGCCTCTTCCGCCGTTTCCGCTACCAGGAGGCGGCGGGCCCCCGGGAGGCCCTGCAACGCCTCTGGGACCTGTGCCGGGGCTGGCTGCGGCCTGAGAGGCACACCAAGGAGCAGATTCTGGAGCTGCTGGTGCTAGAGCAGTTCCTGGCCATCCTGCCCCGGGAGATCCAGAGCTGGGTGCGGGCGCAGGAGCCTGAGAGCGGAGAGCAGGCTGTGGCCGCGGTGGAGGCACTGGAACGGGAGCCCGGGAGACCCTGGCAGTGGGTGAGTAGAAGGGGTGGGGCTGGGACGGGTAGAGATCTGGTGCTTAGACACTTTGACTGGGCCATGCATGCACTGGCCGGGGAATGAGGAATTCCACTGAGAGCCGTGTACTTTGGTTAGGACCAGACTAGAGTTTCCTAAGAAAGCCAGTTTTACTCCCTGAAGCCTCTAATTTGGGCATGATGGTGTCATGCCCCTTTACGGCCCAGTCCAAGGCCTAAATGGAGCCTTTGGTGGGCAGCTGTGGAGTGGATGGTCACCAGGCCCAGGGAGAGATGGGACCTCTTCGCCTAGCTCTGAAAAGCTTTCTCTGGGATTGCAGCTCAAGCACTGTGAAGACCCTGTGGTGATTGATGATGGGGACAGCCCTCTGGACCAGGAGCAGGAGCAGCTGCCGGTAGAGCCCCACAGCGACCTTGCAAAGAGCCAGGATGCCCAGCCCATAGCCCTGGCACAGTGCCTGGGGCTCCCAAGCAGAGCACCAAGCCAGCTCAGCGGGGATCCAGGTATGCAGCCCGGGGAGTAGCAGGGGTGATCTGGGGGAGCGCACACCACACACTATACACTGGGGTGGTTTTTAAGCTGATGGCTTTTGCATCAGCAGTTTTCTCCTGTTCCCTGAGGGGCTGCGAGCTGTTATCAGGGTCTGAGTCCCTTCCTGGAGCAATTAAACGAGAATCTCATCAGGATGTTTGTTCTCTTCATGGTTCTAGATCCTCTCAGAGCTAACTCTTCTGTAAGTGGGTGTCACTGAGGTGGTGCCCTCTCATCTCTTTGAGGATGCATCTTTGCAGGATTTGTCAGTTTGATGACAGCTAGGGCCTGCTGCATGAATGGAGCATGGCCATCTCTTGTCTCTTGGAACCTCTGTTTCTTTGGCTAAACAATTCCTATTTACAGGAGCATTGTGATTCTGCAAAGAGATATAAAAATACTTTGGAGAACAGAGGATGGTATCTAGTGTGTGGGACCAGAACATCAGCTAGACATGGTTTGAGTATGTGTATGAAGTACATGGTTGCTACAGAAAAGTAGTTTTGTCATCAGATAAACTTAGATTTGAATCTTCTGGGTATGACATGAGGCATGCTTCTAAACTCCGAAAGCCTCAGTTTCTTCCTCTGTCCAACGGAGATAGTAATTACCTTTTTTGGGGTTTTTGGATGATTAAATGAGATACAACCTATAAAAGGCTGAGCACAAAGCCAGAGATGCCCAAAACTTTTTTTTTTTTTTTTTTTTTTTTTTTGAGACGGAGTCTCGCTCTGTCACCCAGGCTGGAGTGCAGTGGCGCAATCTCGGCTCACTGCAACCACCACCTTCCAGGTTCAAGCAGTTCTCTCGCCTTAGCCTCCCAATTAGCTGGGTTATAGGCGCTTGCCACCACGCCTGGCTGATTTTTATATTTTTAGTAGAGACGGGGTTTCGCCATGTTGGCCAGGCTGGTCTCGAACTCCTGACCTCAGGTGATCTGCCTGCCTCGGCCTCCCAAAGTGCTGGGATTACAGGCGTGAGCCACCGCGCCTGGCCGCCCAAAACTTTTAAGTACATATCATGGGAAACCAGTACTCTTGGGTTGAAGGAAGTCTGGCACGTGGGTTCCTCTGGGTGGACTTTCCACAGTGCTCTGTAGGTACAGTGGAAAGAGAGTGTCTAGGGGGCCAGGGGGGCTTTCTTAGGACTCTGGGTGGACTTGCCACAGTGCTGTATAGGTACAATGGAAAGAAAGTGTCTGGGGGGCCAGGGGGCGTTCTTACGATTTGCAGAAGTTGTGTTGGCCTTATGATAAGCTTTTCAGTAATAAAACCAAAATGCCTATTAAATATCTCTGTGTGGAAAAACTATAGTGACTCCTGTACAAATCATACAAACTCTTCAGCCTTTTCTTGCTCGTAAGTCAAGATTGGTGTGTCGTTTGCTGCCATAACAAAGTACCAGAGTGGGTGGCTTATGTAACAGAAATGTATTCTCTCACAGTTCAGGAGGCTGGTGTGTTGTTTGCTGCCATAACAAAGTACCACAGAGTGGATAGCTTATGTAACAGAAATATATTCTCTCACAGTTTAGGAGGCTGGAAGTCTGAAGTCAAAGTATTAGCAGCCTTGGGTTCTTCTGAAGCCTCTCTCCTTGGCTCTAGACGTGCCTAATGTTAACACTAAGAGAAGTTTGCAGATAGGCATTTAGAAGGAGCTAGGGGCTGAGCGCAGTGGCTCACGCCTGTAATCCCAACACTTTGGGAGGCTGAGGCGGGCGGATCACCTGAGGTCAAGAGTTTGAGACCAGCCTGGCCAAGATGGTGAAACCCCATCTCTACTAAAAATACAAAATTAGCTGTGTGTGGTGGTGGGTGCCTGTAATTCCAGCTTTTCGGGAGACTGAGGCAGGAGAATCACTTGAACCTAGGAGGTGGAGATTGCAGTGAGCTGAGATTACGCCATTGCATTCCAGCCTGGGTAAAAACAGTGAAACTCCGTCTCAAAACAAAAACAAAACAAAACAAAAAAAAAGAAGGAGCTGGGAGGGGAAGTCTCTTATGCCACTGGCTCTCCTTGGGACCCGTAAAAACCTATGAATATCTGGCCCTGAAAGCTGACAACAAGCTTTGTGCCAGGACTCTTGGTGACGGGCAGTTTTCTTTCAGGGAGAGGAAGAGGAAGATGTTTACACTAAGAGAAGTTTGCAGAGCGAGTGTAACAGACACCTTCTCTCTCTGGGTCTCTTACATGGTCTTTCCTTTGTGTGTGTCTGTGCTTTATCTCCTCTTCTTGTAAGTACACCAGTCCTATTGGATTAGGGCCCACCCGTATGACCTGATTTTATCTTAATGACCTCTTTAAAGACCCTGTCTCCAAATACAGTCGCCTTCTGGGGTACCTAAGGATTAGGGCTTCAACATAGGAATTTGAGAGGAGCATAACTTAGCCCGTAACAACAGGCATAAGGGAAGCAGCCAGTCACCCACATAATGCACGTGCAAGTAGCTTGGGTTATGCAGGAAGTGGGGGGCTGTGAGAGGCCTTGTAGTGGGGTCTGGGAAGGCACGCAGGAGGAGGGGAAGAGTTTCAGGAACTACAGCAGCCTGTGCAGTTGCTTCTTGATAAAGTTCTGAGATAAGCCAGCAACCACAGATGGGGTTTAGGAAAACAGGGCCAGCTCTCCCATTTCCATGAGCAATTAGCAATAGGCAAAGTAGGTGTGACAAGAGTTAGCAGTCAGGAAAACCTTAGCTATTAGGACAATTTATCATTGGAATGCACTACCCGTCATAGCTGTATAGTTCCTCATCTTGAAGATCTTCCCCACAACCTAGGTTCTGTGTAGGGTCTGCAGCTCTCCAAAGTGATTCTCGAAAGGGTCCATGTATTCATTTATCGGGGCCAAAGGTAGGGTGGGGCTACATATTCATATATATATCTGGGATAGCTGCATATCCCAGAAGGTGGCAGGTGTGAGGAAGCAGAACTAAAATACCACCTGCTAGCCAGGCACAGTGGCTCACGCCTATAGTTCCAGCTACTGGGGGCTGAAGCACAAGCATCGCTTGAGGCCAGGAGTTTGAGACCAGCCTGAGCAACATAGTGAGAACCCACCTCTAAAAAATAAAACATCCCCTCTGGGAGATGTTGGTCAAAGAGTCGAAGTTTCCATTAGATAAGATGAATAAATTCTGGAGATCTATGGTACAGCATGGTGATGTTGATTAAAAATAATGCATCTTATACTTGAAAATTGCTAAGAAAGTAAGAAATGTTCTCATCACAAAAATGTATGAGGTGTAGATTTGTTAATTAGCTTAATCATTTCACAATGTATAGTTATCATATTGTACAGTTTTCATACATACAATTTTTGTCAATTATACCTTAATAAAACTGGGAGGTAAAAGTAAGTTAAATAAAGATGAAGATAGAAACTTAAAATAGAACATACACACACAAAAATACCACCTCCTCAAATCTACACCCATCCAGCCTGAGCTTCCCTTCAGATACAGTGAAAAGGCTGCCTTCCACTGAGACCCCTAGAATGGCACTGCCATCTGTGTGGGCTCCTGACCCCATCCTTTGTTCCACATAGCCACTCTTGCAGCTGCTGTTTCCTGCAGGCTTTGTGTCCCAGCTCTGAAAGGCCAGGGACACTGACCTCTGGGGTTTGCTTTGATAGTGACTTAACATATGACCTGGGGTTAACCAATAGACTGTAGCACAGCTCTCCAAGTCTTAATCTGAGAAAAGAGTACCGTTGGAAACACAGAGCTCATTTTTACATGGCTGCCCTGCTGGCAGGGAATGTAGCTCATGGCAGAAGCCTCAACAAGGGGTAGTTTCCAATTTCAGGAGAAGAGTGGCAGAGTCCCTGATAGCCCAAAATAAGGCTGGTGAGATGGTCCCAAAGCCACACTTTACATTTTGTATGAGGGTCTTTAGGGCACTGTGTCAAATGCTCTTTCAGGAGTACCTACGGTGGTAACAGTTTTTCTTCTTTGTTTAATTTCTGTTTTCAAATTGACAAAAAATTGTATATATTTACGGTGAACAGTGTGAGGTTTTGATATCTATACACACTGTGAATGATTAAATCAAGCTGATTAGCTGGGCATGGTGGCACACCTGTAGTCCCAGCTACTCAGGAGGCTGAGGTGGGAGGATCCCTTGAGCTCAGGAGTTCTGTTCCAGCCTGGGCAACATAGTGAGACCAGTCTCTTAAAAAAAAGTCAAGCTAATTAATATAATGCATTACCTCATACACCTCTCCTTTTTCTGCGTGGGGTGAAAATACTTCAGATCTACCCTCTTTGCAATTTTCAAGCACCCAGTACATTGTTACTGCCTATAGTCACCATGTTATGCAATAGGACTCCTGAGCTTACTCCTTTCATGTCACTGAAATTTTGTACCTTTTGACCAGTGTCTCCCCAGTCCCCCATTCCCTAGCCTCTGGTAACCAGCATTCTACTCTCTGCTTCTATGAGTTCAACTTTTTTAGAGTCCACATTTAAGTGAGAACATGGAGTATTTCTCTTTTTGTGTCTGGCTTATTGCTCATAGCATGTCTTTCAAGTTCATCCATGTCATCACAAATGACAGGATTTTCCTTCTTTTTTATGGAGTTCCACAGTAATTCTGATTGCCAATAGCCCTTACTTTTTTTTTTCATTTGAGATAGAGCCATGTTCTGTCGCCCAGGCTGGAATGCAGTGGTGTAGCTGTGGCTCACTGCAGCCTCGATCTCTCAGGCTCAAGCAATCCTTCTGTTTCAGCTTTCCAGTTTTTTTATTTTTAGTAGAGATGAGGTCTTACTGTGTTGCCCAGACTGGTCTTGAACTCCCGAGCTTAAGCAGTCCTCCCCCTTTGGCTTCCCAAAGAGCTAGGATTAGAGGCATGAGTCACCACGTCCAGACCCTAACAGTTCTTACAGATTCCTCAACTCTATGGCTTTTTCTTTTTCTTCTATTTTTTTTTTCTCTTTTTCTTTTTAAGAGACAAATACTCTCTGTGTTGTCCATACTGGTCTGGAACTCGTGGGCTCCAGTGATTCTCCCACCTTAGTCCCCAGAATAGGAGGAGCTGAGATTACAGGCTTGTACCACCACACATGGCTGAGCTCCATGGAGTTTTAACCTTTATTTTCCCATGGTTTGGGTAACAGTGCTGAGGTCCAGGGACCTACCCGAGGTGAAAGAGTTCATTTTTGACCGTGTCATCATGAACCCAGGCACTCTCTGTTATAGCCCCCCTTGTTATATCTGGAAACAAAGTCGCAGCAATCTTTGTGGTTTACAGAGTGCTTTTCATGTGCAGCATTTTGTAATCCTCATTTTACAGGTAGGAACAGAGACTGGGGTTTTATGAAAAGCACCGTGAAACAGCTCCCTGTTGGTGCCTCTCTTGTGATTTTCTTTGCTACCAAAATGGAAGTGAAGAGCCATGGGAAGCTCAGAAGGTATCAGCACCAGGCCTGGCCCTGGTCCTCTTTGGGACACCATTTTCTGATCTCTTTCAGTTCTGCAAGATGCTTTCCTTCTTCAGGAAGAGAATGTGCGGGACACACAGCAGGTGACCACCCTCCAGCTACCCCCGGTGAGTGGTTTCTACAGGAGTCCTTGATAATCCTGCGTTTGCCTCTGTAGGCTACAGGGCAGCTTTCCTAGGGCCCCAGCCAGCTTTCTGACTGCCACACAGGATGTTCAGTCCAGGCCCAGAAAAGCTAAAATAGGCAGAGCGTGAGCTTAAGAGACGCCCCATTTCTCCTCCTGCCCTATGGTCCCAGCCGCCGCTCACTGGGTTGACTGTCATCAGGCCACCTTCAGGAAGCTTTGTGCAGACGATAGCAGGAAACAAAGGCCCATGAGTCCCCACTGATGGGCCTCTCAGCGTGTCTAAGTTCCCCTCTTGTGAAAAAGGAGCTCTCTCTGCTCTTTCATTTTACAGAGAATTTTTCAATTTAATAATCATCGCAGCAATGGTTATATTTTAGAAATGTTAGGAAGTGGAGGGAAGAAAGCACAGATAATTTCAGTCCTGTCACAGATCTATATGGTGAGTCATTCCAGAATTTCCTCGAATGTTCTCGTTCGTTTTTTTGTATAAGACTTGCTTACTCGGGCGCTCTGAGGAGTCGGAGTCAGGGCTGGGGGCTGGTCCAGCAGGTGATCTTACTCACCTCTCTCTAGCCCAGTTGCTGCCTTTGACCATGTTTTCTGGCCGTATCTCCTTCACTTTCCCTCCTAATACTTTCCACTGGCTGGCATGAGATTTAGTTATGACAGCATCATCCCCTCCCGTGGGAACAGGAGGTGTGGCTCCTGTTTTTGTTTAGTTGCTCCTTACCCAACAGAAAACTGAAAAACAGTAGACACACTATTATCATATCTCAGCAGAATGTCAGAAACTGAGCAGTTTGCTTTCTGCACAGTTCATTTGCCATGACTTTATTATATTTTTATTTTTAGAGACAGGGTCTTGCCTTGTCACTCAGGTTTCAATGCTGTGGCACAGTTGCAGCTCACCGCAACCTCAAACTCCTGAGCTCAAGCCATCCTCCCACCTCGGTCTCCTGAGCAGCTGGGACTACAGGTGCATGCCACTACACCCAGCTAAGTTTTGTATTTTCTTGTAGAGACAGGGTCTCACTATGTTGCCCAGGCTGGTCTCGAACTCCTGACCTCAAGTGATCCTCCTGCCTCAGCCTCGCAAAGTGTTGGGATTACCGGCATGAGCCACTGTGCGCAGCCGACATGGCTTCAAACTTGGAGAAGGGAGGGCTAGGGATGGGAAGGAGTGAGCCAGGTTACCCAGTTAGGGGGCATCTCCATAACTTGCTTTTGCCCCACCAAAGCTGTGACACACGCCCGTTTACCCTGATGCTCAACACATACATGTCAGCATTTGCTACGTACTGTGACCATTCCCAAACATGAGGAGGTAAAACCAGTATTTCTTATTAAAAGTTGCGTCTTTAACCAGTGTAACGCACAAGGGGATGCTGTTCATTCGGTACCTATTGAGGTTGGTCTTCATCTTTCAGTTCTTGCAGTCCCTGGTAAATGCCGTAGCGAGCACAGTACAGAGATTTCGATAAGTCAGTGTTGTTTTGTTACTCTGATAGTTTCTTCCCAGTGCACTAAAGGTTGCCATCGTGAAGATCTTGTTTATAAGTGTTTTTTTAATTTCTATTTTTAATTGTGGTAATATACACATAGCATAAAATTTTCCATCTTAACTGTTTTTCAGTATGCAGTTCAGTGGTGTTAAGTACATTTACATTGTTGTACACCCAATCTGTAGAACCTTTTCATCTTCCCAAACCGAAATTCCCTATATGTTAAATAATAACTCCCCATTTACCCTTTCCTTAGTTCCTGGCAACCTCCATCCTACTTTCAGTCCCTACTAATTTGACTATAAATACCTGATATAAGTGGAATTGTACACTATTTGCCTTTTCGTGACTGGTTTATTTCACTCAGCATACTGTCCTCAAGGTTCATCTATGTCGTAATGTGTGTCGGAATTCCCTTCCGTTTTGTTTTTTTTTTTTCTGAGACAGAGTCTTGCTCTGTCACCCAGGCTGGAGTGCAAGTGGCTCGATCTCGGCTCACTGCAATTTCCGCATTCCGGGTTCAAGCAATTCTCCTTCCTCAGCTTCCCGAGTAGCTGGGATTACAGGTACCCACCACCATGCTTGGCTAATTTTTGTATTCTTAGTAGAGACAGGGTTTCACCATGTTAGTCAGGCTGGTCTCGAACCCTTGACCTCGTGATCCACCCACCTCGGCCTCCCAAAGTGCTGGGATTACAGGTGTGAGCCACTGCACCCGACCATGAATTCCCTTCCTTTTTAAGGTTGAATAATAATCCCATGTGTGTATATATCACATTGTTGATCCATTCATCTGTCGATGGACATTTGCATTGCTTCCACATTTTGGCTGTTGTGAATAATGCTGCTACGAACATGGTACACATGAAGTTTTGTTTTTCTTTTTAAATTAACCTTCTTATTTTTACATAATTATAGATTCACATACCATTGTAAGAAATAACACAGAGAGATCCTGTGAACTTTTTAAACGCTCAATGGTAAAATATAGAGTAAAAATCTGTATTCTGTAAATGTAGTACAATGTCACAGCCAAGGTATTGACATTGATACGTTCAAGATACAGAACAGGTGCTTCACCAGAAGGATATCTCCTGTTACCTAATGTCCACACTCATTTCTTTCCTACCCTCACCCTCTCTTCAACCTCTGGCAACCACTGATCTGTTTTTCAGCTCTATAATGTCGTTTCATTTCAAGAATTTTTTTTTTTTTTTTTTTTTTTTTTTGAGACGGAGTCTCGCTCTGTCGCCCAGGCTGGAGTGCAGTGGCGCGATCTTGGCTCACTGCAAGCTCCGCCTCCCGGGTTCACGCCATTCTCCTGCCTCAGCCTCCCGAGTAGCTGGGACTACAGGCGCCCACAACCGCGCCCGGCTAATTTTTTGTATTTTCAGTAGAGACGGGGTTTCACCGTGGTCTCGATCTCCTGACCTTGTGATCCGCCCGCCTCGGCCTCCCAAAGTGCTGGGATTACAGGCGTGAGCCACCGCACCCGGCCAAGAATGTTATATAAATGGATTAGTATGGTATGTAACCTTTGGGGATTGGCTGTTTTCATTCAACACAATTCTGTGGCGCTTTATTCAGGTTGTTGCGTGTGTTACTAGTCCATTGCTTTTCATTGCTGAGTAGTATTCCATGGCATGGAGGTCCAGCAGTTCATTTAACCATTCACTGGTTGAGGAACATCCAGGTTGTTTTGGGGTCATTATTGTATAAAGCTGCTCTAAATATTTGTGTGCAGGTTTTTATGTGCACATCAGTCTTCATTCTCTGGGATAAATGCCTGGGTATGCAATCGTTGGTAAGTACGTGTTTAGTTTTGTAAGGAACTGCTCTTATCTGATATTAATATAGCTTCTCTTCTTTCTTTTGATTACTAATTGCATAATATATTTATTCCATCCTTTTACAGTCAACCTGCTTACATTATTATATTTGAAGTGAGTTACTTTTAAATAGTATATATTTGTTGTTTTGTTTTATTTTGTTTGAGGCGGAGTCTCATGTCATCCAAACTAGAGTACAGTGGCGCAATCTCAGCTCACTGCAACCCCCACCTCCTGGGTTCAAGCAATTCTCTTGCCTCAGCCTCCCTAGTAACTGAGACTACTACCACCAGGCCCGGCTAATTTTTGTGTTTTTAGTAGAGACGGGGTTTCACCGTGTTGGCCAGGCTGGTCTTGAACTTCTGACCTCAGGTGATCCACCTGCTTCGTCCTCCCAAAGTGTTGGGATTACAGGTGTGAGCCACTGCACCCGGCCTAGACAGTATATATTTGGATAATGTTTTCTAATCTACTCTGCCATTTACTGTGTTTTAATTGATGTGTGTAGACCATTTGTATTTAATGTCATCACTGACATGTTAGGGCTTAAGACTTTCTATTTTTCTGGCTCTGTTTTTGTTTCTCTGTTTCCTTTTTCCTATTTTTCTGTGGGTTACTTGAACATGTAGAATTCCATTTCGATTTACCTAGTGTGGTGTTGAGTGTATGTATATTTTTGTTTAGCCTTTTTAGTGGTTATTCTAAGTATTACATTATATATACATAACTTATCTACTGAGTATCATTTTATCAGTTTGAGTGAAGTGTAGAAACTTACTTCCTTTGTTCGGGTGCCGTGGCTCATGCCTATAATCCCAGCACTTTGAGAGGTCAAGGTGGGAGGATTGCTTGAGCCCAGGATTTTGAGACCAGCCTGGACAACATAGCGAGACCTCGTCTCTACAAATAATAATTCTAAAAAATTAGCTGGGAAAGGTGGTGCGCTCCTATAGTGCCAGCTTCTTGGGAAGCTGAGGCAGAGGATTGCTCGAGCCCAGGAGGTTGAGGCTGCACAGTGAGCTGTGATTGTATCACTGCACTCCAGCTCAGGTGACAGAGTGAGACCCCATCAGAAAAAAAAAAGAAAAAGAAAAAGAAAGAAAGAAATATAATATGCCTCCTTTTACATACCCTCACCCTTCTTCCCCTATTATAATGCAGTGTGTTAAATATTTCCTCTACGTACATTGAGAACCACATCATAGAGTGTTGTAATTTGTGCTTCAACTGTCAAACATTATTCAGAAAACTCAAAAGGAAAAAGAAAACCTATTTGTTACCCATATTTTGGCTTACTGTTTTCTTTCTTCTTATGTTTCAAGGTTCCTTCTTTTTGTTTAGAGTGTTTCTTTAGCCGTTCTCTTAAAATAGATCTGCTGGTGATGGACTTACCTGTTTTTTCCTCATCTTAGTAGGTCTTCATTTCCCCGTCATTCCTGAAGGATGTTTTCACCAGATGAAAGAGTCACAGTTGACAGTTTTCTTTCAGCACTTGAAAAATACTGTGTTATTTCCTTCTGGCCTCCATGGCTTTTGATGAGAAATCTGCTGTCATTCAAAAATTTTTTCCCTATAAGGAAGGTATTATTTTACTCTGACTAAGATTTTTTTCTTTTTTTTGCCTTCAGTTTTCAGAAGTTAAATTATGC